GAAGCAGGATCCAATCTTCATTGGGGGATAACAGCGGGCTTGTCCTTGAACAAATGGGCCTAGTCACTGAGCTTTATTAGTGTAACTATGAGCCTGTCAGTTATCTGGTTTGCTGTACCCTTTTTTCCCTCCAAAAAAGAGAAAAAACTGGAAAATTTTTGCTGATATGAACAGAAAAATCAAATAAATCAGTCAAGAGGACTTGAATGTATTTCTATTTCATTGGGAATGATCAAATATTAAGAATTATAATTTGATTTTACTACTATGATCCTATTACAAAAAAAAGCTTCCAACATGTATTCTTGGTATTATTTTTTGGGTTTTGGTATGTTTCTTGCTACTAACGATGTCAACAAGCATGTAGGTTACTCAGGCACTAAACATCAAATTTTATTATGAAAATTAGAACGAAGCCAAAGTTTAGGGAGAAGCAGCGTAGGACTAGGACATTAGGTTTTGGTGGCTAATATTCCCTCTTACAATGTGTATAGGATATTTTTTAAAAATCTTACTTGATCCAAAATTTAGAAAACTTGATAGTTCTCACAATTTTTTTTTCAACTAAATCCTTACTTCATTTATTATTCATTTTAAAAAAATTATCTATTAGAATTTTAATTAATAATAATAATAATATTATTATTAATATATTATTATTATTATTATTATTAATGTACTTACATAGGGCATTTAATAAGATTATAATTGAAATGATATACAACTTTTCAGAAAATTAAGATTTCAACTATTTTATTTTTAGAATTGCATAAAGTACTTGTCGATGTCTTATACTGTGAAATGGAGGGAGATTGAGAGTATGCTTTTCCATGTATCTCCTATGGTCTTTGCTGTATTTCTTATTTATGCTTTGCCTTTTGGCGAAAGAAAAACTGAAATAAAAAATAAATCACGTTATGCATGCCAAAAAAAAAATTGTCTGCATAAAAATCACATTATTTCATTGCAAATATTTGTGAATGAAAAATTGAGAGAGAGAAAGCACAAGATTTGATGTCTTAATGTCTATTTTGAGCTTGGTGTCACGGGTTGAGAGTCTGGCGCAGCACACGGCGTTCTTGTGGCGTCCTAAGGGACCCCATAATCTTCAGGACAAGCCTTACCACATACGAATCACACTGGTTTCGCCCTGCCATGGGCTCATCAGGAAGGCGGCATTAACCCCCAATCAGTTGTGCACTCAGCCCGAAGACTAAGGCAGAATGCACTCAATATCAATGTCGCCTCCTTTACCCATATTGTGCAAGGCTAACCAGCGGATCGTTCATTATATTGGTCTTTTCACGGTCACGGAGATATCATCCGTGACATTCTCCCACACCCAATCTAGCACGCCCTCGTATTAGGGGAGAAAGACTCTACCCAAGAATCACACATACAATACTGCCACAAACACATCAGCTTACCGCTGAATGGCCACCCGAGTTTTGCACTCTTCGGACCCACTCGCACCCGCGAGCCAACAGGAGTGGAGTCGACTATGGCCAACCTTCCCGCCTGAGTCTCCACTTTTGGACCAACCTACACCTCGCAGGCCTTTGGAGCGGTGCCAATGTCAACTAGTCCTAACATGGGACTCCATAGGCACACGATAGTAAAGTACATCCTGCTCTGATACCACTCTGTCACGGGCTGAGAGTCTGGCGCAGCACACGGCGCTCGTGCAGCGTCCCGAGGACTCCATAATCCCCGAGACAAGCCTTATCACATACGAATTACACTGGTTTCGCCCTGCCATGGGCTCATCAGGGAGGCGGCACTAGCCCCCAACCAGTTGTGCACTTAGCCCGAAGACTGAGGCAGAACACACCCAATGCCAATGTCGCCCCCTTTACCCATATTGTGCGAGGCTAACCAGCGGATCGTTTATTATCTTGGTTTTTACACGGTCACAGAGATATCATCCGTGACATTGGGCACAAAAATATTGAGCTCATCAAACATGTGATTTTTTTATTAATTTACTTTGTTTCAAAGTTCACCGTGTATCACCAATAAAGGTTAATTCAATTGATAAATATTTGATTCATAATATATAAAATTGTAGATTAAATTTTACTGCTGATATGAAAATTTTGTTGGTGGACAATAAAAAAAATTGTCCCTGTGTGACAAAAAAAAAAATCCAAATATGAAAATTGAGGCTTCCTCACGCAGTGGTTTTTTTTCTTGCCTAAAACTTTCACTAGGAGTTAAAGAAAATAATTATTATGAATCCTTATATTATTTCTCTCACATATTTAATAGTTTAAACAAACCACTAGAAATATAGCTGTTAAATAAGATGATAGATGAATGATATTTTTTAAAATGAGATAATTATTCATCTCAAATATATGGTTGGCAAGTGAACATGAGCTCAACTCATGCGGAAATTTCCTTTTTTTGTTTATGATAAACAACAGGGTCTAAATGTATTGTGCCAAAAAAAAAAAAGGTCTAAATCTTAGACCTCCACTTATACTTTATCTCATCATAACAAGCGGGTTGGGTTGAAATTGAATTTTATTTTTTTTACTTGCAAACAAATTTTTTGCATAATATATTTATTTATTAATTTTTATATGTTGAAAATGAAAGAAAATTTATTTTATTTAAGATATTACGTATTGATAGGCATATAAGATTCAGGCAAACAAAAAAAAAAAGATAAGCATATAACAGAATATTATAGATTGTTCTGGAAAAAATTCAAATAATAAAAATAGAAAGAAATAAAAAAAGGTAAACATGTGAAAAATAATAAAGACAACGAACAGGAAGTATAATATTAAAATTGGAGCCAACGTGACCAATTCAGCCATTAAATTATTAAATTGTTAACATATATTTTTAATCTTTTAAATTTATATAAAGTTTTAATTTAATTTTTTAATTTTAGAAATATCTTTTCAATCTTCTAATCTTAATATTGTTAGTATTAAATGATTATTTTTTATGAAAATTATTGTTTTTATAGAAAAATAAACTAAATATATAAACATTTGATAGTGTTTTGATAGTTTTGTCAAAATTTGAAAGTTTAATGTGTAGTTTTTGTGTGATAAAACTAATGATGTTAGGGTTGAATAACTAAAAAAACATTTTATAAAATTAAGATAATAAAATAAAACTTTATATAAAGTTAAATGACTAAATATAGAATTTAGCCTTATTAAATCAGTGTTTTAACTTGTTTAATGAAAGGGTAAGACTTGCTCCTTTTGATCCTTATTATAAAAAACATTCAACCATTTTACACATATTGAAAAAAGTTATTTTTTTATTGATATCATAAAAAATTATATGTACTTTCATTTTTATTTATAGTTTTAAATAATAATACAATTATATTAAAATCTTTACGCTAATCAAGAAAGGATAAGATTAGAAAAAGTAGTTTAATTATTGTAAATTATCATATATTTTGGACGAAGAATGACTTCTAAAATGTGTCTTATAAATAAGATCAAATTAAGTATATACTTAGCCTTATATATTTAATATACTCATATCCAATGAAATCATGACAAGTGAATCTTTAATACTTCTTCCATTAAAAAATGTAAGATATTTTTAAAAAAGTTAAATTTAAAAAATGTAAGGTATGTTTAGTGTTTCAAAGTATAATAATTATCTTTTTTTTAAAAAGTATCCTTATTGAATAAATTACTTTATATTTATTTTAGCGTGGGACTCCTATGTAATAGAGGTAAATATAAAAAAATAATATTAGTTTAAAAATAAGTAACTACTTTATTGAAAGTAAAATTTGATTAAAAATACTTTATATTTTTAAATGAAAGGAGTATGTTAATAAAATTAATAAAAAGAATTTAATATAGAATAAAGAATCTATAAAAAATCTACATGTCTTGATTCAATTAAAAATAATTATACCAAGTATATAAGATTAAGTATATAAATTTTTTTCTTAACAAAATGTTTTGTTTATGATCACAACTTAAAACATAATCTTAACTACTCTCCCAATTCTAATTTATAAAACACTTTTGAAGATAATTTGATATCTCAAAATATAAGATAGTTTGATAAAAATAATATTTCATTAATTATACTTATTTCAATATTAACATTTTTTATTATTTTTTCTCTCTCTATTTAATGTTTCACAAATAAGTTTATATTAAATGAAGAATATTTTCAAAAATTTATATTTATATTTTTTAAAAAATTGTGAAATATATTTAACATTTTTTAATTGTATGTATAACTTTATTTAAAATTATTTTATAAATTAAAAAAATTAATTATTTAATTCTTATAGTTTTGATTTAATTACAATTCAGTCCCTGACTCATCACAACTTACTCCCTAAAATTTTATTTGATTGTAAATTAATTATTAAATTTTATCTCCTATAATTTAATCTTTGATATTTCAACTTCTTAAATATTTATTTTTATATTTTTAAAAATAAAATTATAAAAATTAAAAATATTTTAAAATTTATCACTAATATTTTAAATTATTAAACCCTTTTAATCTTTATAAATATTAAAATATTAAAATATTAAAATATTTTCAATTTTTATAATTTTATTTTTTAAAATATAAAAATTAATATTTAAGGGATTGAAATTTCAAAGATTAAATTATAAAAAAAAATTTAAAAATTAATTTATAATTAAATAAAAATTTTAAAGATTAAATTGTAATGAGTCAAAATAAAAAATTAATTTATAATTAAATTAAATTTATAAGGATTAAATAATTAATTTTTTTAAAATTAAAACAGAGCAAATATTGATCTTTGAATAAGTGACGTGGGCGGTCCGATAACCACTACAATTTTCACTGTTTGTTAAAAGTGGGGGTAGGACTGCAGAAGCAATGGCAACGAACCGGTATGTAATTATGGTGTGAAAGTACGCCTGTGCTGACATGGCCAGCGAGTACGTTGCCGTGGAGCTTGAGCCACCGTAAAATAAAAATCATGATGGCAAAACGGTAAGTTTCTATGATGGTGAGTAATAATAGGCACTGAAACCGTACATACATAAATACAGGCATACTGAGACCATGGAATGGACTCTAGAGTTGTGTGCTATTTTTAAGCCGGGCGGAAGGACGCTTACCTGTATGTAGAGTAATGGATCACGGGGAAAATAATAACCAGCCACTACTCGCGGCCTCGTCCTCACCGGAAGAACATCGTCATGATATCTCCGCCGCGACTGCAATTTTCAGCGCTGACTCTCCTGACATTCCTCCCATCAACACTCCCAAAGATTTCTTTACTCAATTCTTGATCGAGTCCAAGAAGCTCTGGTACCTCGCCGCCCCCGCCATTTTCACCTCCATTTCCCAGTATTCCCTCGGCGCCATCACTCAGGTCCTCGCCGGTCACGTCGGCGCCCTCCAACTTGCTGCCTTCTCCGTCGAGAACTCCGTCATTGCCGGCTTCTGCTTCGGCTTCATGGTAAAATCTGGAAACTACTCTGTTTAATTAACTTCAAGGTGAAGTGATTTTGAATTTGAATGCCAACAGCTTGGGATGGGAAGCGCGCTGGAGACGCTTTGCGGGCAGGCGTACGGGGCTGGGCAGCTTGATATGTTAGGGATTTACATGCAAAGGTCATGGGTGATTCTGAACTCGACGGCTCTGATTCTGACTCCGTTGTACATCTTCGCGAGGCAAATCCTGAAAGCGATAGGGCAGAAGACGGCGATCGCGGACGCGGCGGGTCTGTTCGCTCTTTGGATGATCCCGCAGCTGTTTGCGTACGCGATGAACTTTCCGATCCAGAAGTTCTTGCAGGCGCAGAGCAGGATCATGGCCATGGCGTGGATATCTGCTGCGGTGCTGGTGGTGCACACGGTGATGAGCTGGTTGCTGATGCTGAAATTGAAGTGGGGCCTGGTCGGAGCGGCGGTCGTCCTGAACTCGTCGTGGTGGCTCGTCGTGCTCGGTCAACTGGTCTACATCTTCACCGGAACGTGTGGGAGAGCTTGGAGTGGCTTCTCCTTCCAAGCCTTTAAGAATCTGTGGAGCTTCCTTCGCCTCTCTCTGGCCTCCGCCGTTATGCTCTGGTTCGTATCATTCTTCATCATCATTTACTACTTTCTTGTCACCTGTCAGTCTGGTGCAAGCTCCGGCAAATACTTTGTTCGCCGTAGCTGGGGCAGAAGAATAGATCGGCATTTTCTTAATTAATTGCACAGAAGCTTTGTTTTTGGCATTATAATATTTTTTTGACCACTTTTTTTGTATCTTTGTTTGTTGTTATGCTTTTTTGCTTTGAAATATAAAGCATATCTTTTAAACCATGGCATATATTACTTTTAATTTTTTGTTCCTCCACATATAAATGCTGGATGTCAGATTTTTTTCCAAATTTCTTAACGATTAAAAATTTAAAATACCTGAAATATCAATTAAAGCAATAAAAAGTATATTATATATACAATAATTAGCATAATTAAGAAGAATAATTCAACTAAGTGATTACACTCTAATGATCTCAATTGTACTATACATTGATTTGGGAAAAATATGTCTATAGATTCTTATAGTCTCTCATTTGAAGCATTTAAAATTTGTAGGCCTGAGTCATATGTGTAGTATATATTAATTTGGTAGTCATATGTTGCCATTTTTTAAAAAGGGACAGAGCATGAAGGCGTGAAAACTACAGGAGATTTTTCTTTTCAAATCACGGCGCCGCACGTGAATTAATGTAGTAGCATCATGAATGGAAAATAACAAATTGGTTACATATAATTTCTCCATTAAAAAATTAAAACATTTTTTTAAAAAATTGGATATGTTAAAAAACATAAAATATTTTAATATTTTTAAAAGTACTCCTAATAAATAAATTATTTCATATTTCTTTTAAAGTAAAATATTTTATTAAATAAAAGTAAATATAAAAAAGTAATATTAATTTAAAAATAAATATTTAGTTTATTGATTCGTGAGATTCAGTTAAACGAGGAAGTAACATTTGGAACTGATTAATTTTGTTTGTTGTGAATAAAATCCAACATTCTTTTGTTAAAGATGGGTAGTTGGCTGGGTGACACGTCAATTTTAAATTAAATTAAATTCCTCGTCTTTGCAGCTTGGAGGTGTGGTATTTCACGGCTCTGATTCTCTTCGCTGGATATCTTAAAAACGCTGAAGTTTCAGTGGATGCCCTGTCTATTTGGTAAGTGTTGACTCACTGCTCCCTCATCTTATTATAAAATATCTCTAATAATTCCACCAAAGTCAATAAAATATTCATTAATTTTATTTAAAATTAAATTTTTTTAAATTTTATTTATATTTAAATTAAAAATTTTAAATTTCTATTACATAAAGCATAATTGATAAATTTAAATAGCAATAAAATTAAAAAATTAATTAATATCTCATCAAGTGATAACTTATAACTATATATGATCATTCATCTTTTTTAAAAATTACCTAATTATAAGTACCGGAGTGATATTTAAAATACATGGACATCAAATATCATGCTCAGGACATGAAATTTACACGAACTCTGAGCAACCATAAGTTCTGTGTTATTAAATTTAATAATAATAATAATAATAATAATAATAATAATAAAAAGAAAATGACAAAGATGGAGTCTAATGTTACATAAGCTAAATACTCTGTATTTAAAAGCCGTAACTTCATTAGAAAATAATACTCCTGCACATTACTGTTAGTTGAGCAAAATGTAAATGCATCACTATATTAATATTACTAACATTATTATATAGATTTTTTGCATGAAAAATACAGTTTGTATTGTCATTCCTCGCTGACCTACAGATAAGCGTTGTTTGTCGGTTGCACCTATATTCCGCCAACCATAACAGTTTAAACGCAAAACGGCAAAACGACAAGACCAACATTTAAAATTCTGAAACAGTTTTCTGATAGATTATCTTTAAAATTTAAATGGATGAACCCACCCAGTTTGGACAACAAAACCAGCAGCTTGTTACTTTCTTCTTCTTCTTCTCTGCACCTGACCTATTTCTGGCCATGTCCAAGTCAATTTCCACGTTCCATCTATCCTTCATAGGTTTTGCGTATAAAATATTTATAACCAACAAAAACACGACTTAGTTAAAAAGACGTTACTTCAAAAGTACAGGTTAGTAGTTGGAAGAACAAACACAAAAGATATGCCTATATGTATAAAAGAAATAAGTGTAAGAAATCAACATAAAATGGGCAATGAAGAAATGCATTACCAAAGTAATTTTTGAGAAATTAAATAAATTATAACTAAATTATAAAGATACATTTGAGAAAAAAGATGAACAAATATTTGGGGGGAAAAATGCAGATGTAGGATACCATTCAAACAACAACAAATAAATACAAAGAATCAACTAGAAAAACAAGTGGACAAAGATGAAAGAAGAAGCAAGAAGAAGAAGAAGCTTGCATGTTCTTTCGAATCATTACATGTCCCACCGTTGGCTGCTGGGAAGCTGGGGGCCTTTAAATGAAATAAATTAAAGGCATCATGTGGCGTCGCAGATTGATTGAGCTGCAGCCTGTGGCCCCCGCTCTTTTGTCCTTGTTTAAAATTTAGATAATTAATCTTATATACTTAATATATTTTTATTTAATTAAATTAAAATAATTTAATTTTAATATATTAATAATATTAATTATATGATCTTGTTATAGAATACTAAATAATCTATGAAAAATTTAAATATTTTAATTTGATTAAAAACAAAAACCTTAAATATGTAAGGTTATCCAATAAGAGTTGGATTTTGCGTGAGGGAGTAATTGCTCACAATATATTAAACCAAGTTTTGAATCCTTATTTGGATAAGTATCTATATTTAGTGCATAACTGTGTCTCAAATAATCGTTTGACTCAATTATGTCTTAGTTATCAAGTTTTCAAAATTTAACTCAATAAATCTCAATCTTTTAAATTCTAACTATTTAAAATATTAGTAGTTCATAAAATTCAATAAATAACTCTAATCCTTATATTTATTTTATAAAATATTAGGTCCAACATTTTAAATGGTTAATACTAAGATTTTTTTTTGACCTACTTTTTAAATTTTTGTTTGACCTGTCCTATTCTTATCATATTAGCCGGTTCTTAACTGGCTTACTAGTTTTATACTTGTGAAGCACTCATTCAATTCACGTGTTTTTTATCATAATATTTTTAAATTGGTGTTAATGTTTTTTTTTGAGCAAAAATATAGGTGTTAATGTTATAGGAAAATTTTTCTTGAAGTAATAATTAGGATGAGACACCTTCTTCGTATTATTATATAAATTAGGTGGCTGTGTAATTATTGTTATTAATATTAAATATACATATCAAAGTAAAACAAATGATAAAAATTAAAAGCATACTGTGTAAATGAATATAAGCAAAAGCATATTAAAAAAATCACATATTTTTCAGATCAAGTTATCAAAGACTTCCCTATAAATGACATTAGAAATTCTATTCGTTGGGGGAAAAAAAGTTTTATACTGATTTTTGTTCGGTTCTCATAATATTGAACATGATATAACTCTATTAGATGTGGCGTTATTTTAGGCTCTATTCTTTTAGTACACAAAATATGGTTGTTGAAGAACTTGGTCACCATTAGAGAATGTTAATGTTTAGGATTAAGGAAATTAACAACTGGAGAGCCATGTAACACGTCGCAAAATTCCTAGTTTAATTCTAATCTCTTGGTGCGTGCATGTTGCATGGTATAGGTCAGATCCACGAGGTTGATTATTTCATTTCTTGTTAAATCTTACTTCAATGTTCAATTGAATCCTGATGGACAAGCTTAGTTGATTTTAGCTTAACTCAAGTACTTCAGTTAAAAAAAAAAAAAAAAAAAGGTCCACACATAATTATGACACACCCACACATAATCTTTTTTTTATATATATAATCTATATATGTAATCTTTGTCGTCATTTGAGTGTTGTGAAGTATGTTTGATAATGTTGACTTTTCGATTTAATAAGCAACTGTTTTTTGGTCACGGACCTCGACCTGCCCCACTTCTTTATGACCTTGCAGCCTGTCCTTTTTCTCATGGCCCATTTGGAATAATGGAACATAGAGAAAATGTGCCATTCATTTTTATTTAGAATCATGCCTACCACTAACATTCAGGTATATCAGATTATGATTCTTCTTTCAATACCAACAAACATTCTCATAATGCTAATAAGGGGAAATTGGAAAGAAGAACCAAGAGTTTAAATTATTTGAAAAAAGGAGGACCAAGGTCCTTTAAGTGAATTAAAATTATTTTAATTCACTTAATTTTAATTTACTTCACTACAAGAGCCTGGTCCTTTTTTCCAAATAATTTAATCTCATGATTAATCTTCTCCTCAACCCCCCCCTAATAATGCCTCGTCATTTTTTCACTAGCAAACCGTTCATGACCAAAAACTTGAAAACCACGAATTTGACCCAAAAAAGGGGAAAACGATATTTTAAAACCTTCTAAAAAAATTAATTATATTTAATGACCACGAAATTCTAAAGAACTTCAAAACCAACCCTCTATATCAGTATATCCTAAAGTTGAAGCCTGCCAGATATCATAGGATCAATATCCCCTTTTCTTCTCTCTTTTTGGACTTTCTTCCAAAGACTGGTAGATATATATATCGGGTGCAAATGCACTGAATGAAAAAAAAAATATCAGGGAAATATTTAATGAGTTCCGTACATTAATTATACACTAGGACCACAATATAAAAGTCATTGGTCCAAAATTTATGACATTAAGTAAATTTTATGTTTTTTCATTTATAACCTTGTTTTTTTTAATTCCTGGTCTTTAAATGTTCTATATTTAAAGATCATGCAAGTATTACTAGAAAAATTAATGATATAAATGAAAAAATTGTGGACATTTTTAAGAAAAAAATTCAAGTAACGATTTTCATAAATTGAGAATTAGTTAACAATAATGATAAATATTGTAACCCAAAGGAAGTAGCATTTAAATGTCCCTCCGTCAACCAGATCACTAGGCTATTTTAGATTGAATATGATAGAATTATAAGAGCAACAACAAATATTCTTTTGAATAAGATATAATACATATTCAACATGTACACCTACATATTCAAAGTTTAAACTCAAAACTAATAATTCCCTGCATCAGAGCTGCACAAGGATTGTTTCCTTGTGTTAACTTGATGTAGAATTAGTGGATCTTATATTATACTCTATTTAATATTATAAAGTACTTTTAATTAAATTACATTTTGATCAATGAATTAATTAATTGTCTTTAAAATTATTCAATTTTTTTTCATGTTTACCTTTATTTAATGGAATATTTTAATTAGAAAACTTATCAATTACACACATTAATTAAAGTATTTTCAAAAAAAATCTCATTAATTATATCTTGATTAGTTTAAAATGTTTTATATTTTTAAATATTTTACTTTAGAAAAATATGATATATATTTAAACGGAGGGAGTAAATGATAAAAGTGTTGACATTAATTTCATCAACCACCAATATGGGTTTCATTTTTCCTGACATGATATTCAATTTCTGCAGCATCAACATACTGGGTTGGACTATAATGGTCTCCTTCGGATTGAACGCAACCGTAAGGTGTGATATTTATTATTTCATTTCCTCTATCTCTACAAAAATATTCACATTTCTTTATTAATTAATTACTGCAGAGCTACTCAATAACATTAATAATTTTAACTTACAATTTTTTTTAAAAAATCATTTTTTAGAAAGTATAAATTAGAAGATTATCTTTATTTTTATTCTATATTTATCAAAGGATTAATATATAATTTAAGTTTTGAATTATAAATTTATGAATGATTTAAATTTTAAACTCGTATTTGATTTATCATGAATCTTAAATAATTAAATTTTCATTGAGTTGGCATAGACGTCAGATGCTTTTAAAAAATTAGGGCGAGATGTGCGAGATGTGCAATTTTTACTGGTGTCAAGTTACACCCTCCCTCCCTCTCCTACCCTCCTCCTTTCTCACTCCTTGCCCACCCTAATGCCTCGGCGTCCAGTTCAGGTGCTTCAGGTGATAACCAATCAGGCCGCCAACACGGCCGTAAACTAACCACGATCATATCAAATACCAACTTCGCTTCCTTCTTCCTCATCAAGAACCTCGACATTGAGAAAGAGTTCTTCATTTTCGGAAAGGACCTCGACGTACAATGACAGCACATGGAGCAATCTAAATGACATCAAACGGGGAAAAAACTGACGACAAAGGAGTTCGAGAAATCCGTAGGGCACTCCTCGATCGTTAAAGAGTTTATGCGATGCAGGAGAGACCAAGACGATGAGAATAAGCCGAGCGCCAACAAGAGCTTGAGAACGAGAGTAATCCATGAGACCCTTACAGCAAGAGTGGCACATCGTGAATCCTATCTGCCCGTGAAAAGCTGACTTGCACAAGTCTCTGTTCTCTCATGTTTTTTTATGTTAGAAATAGAGATGGTGCTTCCAAATCTGGTGACTACTCCAACACCAACCTCTATTGCTCATGATTCTTCCTCACCCTCGTGGCCTCGTCGTCTGCCTTTCATCCTTCAACTTCACTATCTCAAACAACTTCTCCTTCAAAACCCGCCCGTTCTCCGCCTCCTCCGTCTCCACCACCACCACCAGCTTCTCCATCGGAATCCTCGTGTTCAGAATCTAATCACCCAAATGAGGATACAACACTATCTACTTCTCACTCTTCTCTTAGAACTGAGGCTTCTTGAGGTTGAGTTGTGACCAAAATTAAAGGCGTAGAAGACGACAGATCGGGGTTCGAAGTCGGCAAGCCAGGTCGGTGAGGAAGACGAGCTTGTGGTATTTGTGAGACATGTAGCCACAGAAGCTGCGTTCGATCTCTCTGCAAGTTTGGATGGCTATGGTGTCGCATTCCGGCATTGGTGGAAGGAGTGAGAAAGGAGGGTATCAGATTATCAGGAGAGAGAGGGAGGGTATAATTCGATACCGGTGGAATTCGTACATCTTGCCGCACTTTTTTTAAAAAATAACAAACATTTATGCCATCCTAATGGTAGGAAGAAATTGCTTTAAATTTAAATATATCAAATATCAATTTAAGATTTAAATCAATAAAAGTTTATTAAAAAATATAAAAGTTATTAATATAAGTATACTCATCATCAATATGAAAGTTTGGTTTCTTCTAAATGGTCCAAATTTAATATTAATTTTATAAATTAATAGGCTAGCTTTGCCATGAACAGTCTAAATTTGTTATTAATTTTTTTTTTACCAAAAGTACATAATTTTTTTAAATTTTTATTTTGATGAATACAATATGACATAGAAAGATAATTTTCTAGTTGATACTTCTCAAAACTGATTTTTTTTTAAAAAAAATTACAAGTTGAAAGTTTTAAATTTAAATGATCAATTTAGGTATCGTCAAAAGCTTGATAAGCAAAAAAGCTCATCACATTCGCTCCAGTCCTACGTACATAAATACATGGTTTATAATTTCTCACTTTATAAAATTAACTAATTATCAACTCTAGAAACTCCATTCTATAAATACACACATATATAACAGTGTGCATGCATGCATATATGCAGTGTGAGAGTATCGAATGAACTCGGAGCAGGACATCCAAGAGCAGCAAAGTTTTCGCTGTTAGTGGCTGTAATGACGTCGTTGATGCTGGGAATTGTGTTGGCTCTGATCCTCATCATCTTCCGGAATGAGTATCCATCCTTGTTCTCCAGCGACAAAGAGGTGCAAGAGGCGGTCAAGAATCTCACACCCATGTTGGCTTTCTGCATCGTTATCAACAACGTCCAGCCTGTTCTCTCCGGCATCGCCGTCGGAGCAGGCTGGCAAGCCATTGTTGCTTACGTCAACATCGCTTGTTACTACCTCTTCGGCATCCCTCTCGCTCTTCTCTTGGGTTTCAAGTTCGACCTTGGAGTCATTGTACGTCAACCATCCTTCTTCGTTTTTGTTATATATAGAAGTAGATCATACATAAATTAAGTTAATCATGTAAATAAAAAAAATTATATATGTGTCCTAGATCAGGTAAGGAATTTAATTACCAATAAATCGCATCCATGACAAAATACCACTAATAGAATAACATATAAGTACACGCTTTTAGTTATTTAACTTTATACGAAATTTTATTTTGATATATTAATTTTATAAAATATCCTTTCAGTCATTTAAGCTTAATATTGTTAGTTTCATTAACAAAGATTTTTTATATTAAATTTTAAATATTGACAAAATATTCTTTGATATAATAAGTTTAATTTTATGCTATTAGTTTCATTAACAATTAGTTGTAAAATTCCTTACTACCTACCTGAGACTTCTATGTAATTTTTTCATAAATGGGAAAATATTTAGATGTTTTACACAAGTTATGAGGTGTTAACTAATTCATCTTCATATATGAGAAGTTTTCAAATATAAAGTGATTGTCCCCCTTTTTTAACATTTTGATTTACAGGGAATTTGGTCTGGAATGTTGTCGGGAACCATTTTACAGACAATCGTTCTAACCATAATGGTTTGGAAAACCAACTGGAACAAAGAGGTACCTTCTTCTTTTTATGATGAAAATCAAAAGCAAGTTTTCATTATGGTGAAGTGTCTATATATGTCATGAGTCTCACATCGAAGAGCCTCACAAATGATACGGGATTTATAAGTTTAAAGGGCTCTCTTACCTAACAAGCTAGTCTTTTGAGATGTACTCTCTTTTTGGCTTTGTGTTCATTACATTAGTGACCAATAAAAGGCCAAGTAAAGTGTTGTGGATTGAAACTGTCGTGGATGTCAGTTCTTGAGAAGATGGCGTTGTTATGAGTCCCACATTAGAAAATCTCAAAAGCAATGTGAAGTTTATAAGTTCAAAAGGCTCTTTCACCTAACAAACTAGTTTTTTGAAATGAGCTCTCACTTGAAGTTTGTGCTTGTTACATTAATACTTTTATTGAGAGGCCGATATCATAAAAAGAGCTACCTATAAAGGGTTCTAACTATAAGAAACTAAGTGAAATGCCGTGGAGTGTTCTTGATGAGGTGGTATTGTCATGATTCTTGCATCATATTGAGGAGCCTCACAAGTGGTTTGAGCTTTATAAGTTCAAGGAACTCTTCCATCCAACAGGCTAGTTTTTTAGGATGAGTTTTCTCTTTAATCTTGCATTTATTAGTGTGTGTGTGAAGATATGAGGAAAATTATGGCTATTTTTAATTCGTGCATGAAATATTGCAGGCATCACTTGCAGAAGATAGGATCAAGAAGTGGGGTGGGCATGCTGATTCAGGAGAGAGTGAAACGGGAAAGACAGAAGAAACTTGAAGCCGAAGGTGCAGAAAATTCTTGCTTAGCTTTGCTCAGATTTTTATAAAGTTTTTAGTTGTTTTCATTTGAGGGATGAATGTTGGGAAATAACTCCTCAGAGGGATTGATGGTGCCTCTCTTTTAATTTTCTTCCTGCACTCAAATAGGTAGGTGATTTTGAATAATAACACAAAAGTTAAACCCAAAACAAGAAAACAAGAAACAAAAACCTACTAATGTGAGTGCAGGAAGGAAACAAGAAGGGATAGGTGCACCAGAAGACTAACAAAGGTCCTAGACATGTTGGCGAAACTTGTGCATTTTTAGAGCATGGATAGAAATTAATAATTTAGCTTTGGTAAATTCTAATCTGAATGGTTCAGTTTTACAATGAAGACGTAAGAGGGCTCCTTTATTTTATTGGATGCCAAGCATTTTTCATGAAAAAGTAGATTGCTCTAATCAATTTCAAACAAAATGTCAAAACGAGTTCATAATTGCTCTCACTCATGTTACAATGTCATCCTCCATATGTATATATGTTCAAGTAACTTCACAATAAAATTGAGTTTTATAAATTCAATTGATTTTTTTTATCTGAGAGACTAGTCTTTCGAAATGGATTTTTTTTTAGATTTGTATATAACACAATCATCCAAAAAAAAAATAAAGAGTTTGAAGATTTTCCTGTCGTAAGTATGAGAAATGAATAAAGCGAACTTTATTAAGAAAGTGTTTGCAAAAAGGTTTTGTGAAATGATCTGGAAAATAACTATAGAAGTACTTTATCTGGAAATGGTTTACAAAATGATTTACTTATGTAGGTTAGAATGATCAATTATTAAAAAGATTAGATATCATTCCATTACTTTACTATTTTCAGGAGAAGGTTTGAGTATAGAACAAGAGAATGCACGTGAAGAATAAGCCGGTTGGGCTCTTTTGTACTCCTGTATGTGATAAACGCTCGGTTGTTTTTGAATTTGAATTTGTGATTATAGTAATTGAGTGTCCATGCCATTTCAATTATTAAAATTCATATAAATAAGTTAAATAAATTTATTCATTCATTAATTTTAAGTGAAGTATGAATTTAAAACTATTAATATTAATTTTAATAATTTAAATGATATAGACACTCGGTACCTGTATCAAGTACAATCATTAAATACAAATCTCTTATTTTCTGTTTTGTTGCCAAGATTTAGGAGAATGTCTGGTTTATGTTTTGGACTTTTCTTTAATCAATTTATAGTACTTTGGGTTACCTCCGGTTTGGAATGATAATGCTTTGTTGGATAAAACAAAGACCAATTGAAGGGCCTAGCCCTATCCTTTTGTGTACTCTTAGGGATGTGGTTGAATTTTAATTATAAAATTTTATTATAAAAAATTAATTAACGGGAACACAGAACGTAATGATATTTAATTAGATAATAATTTTTTAAATTGATTTTGATAAAGTTAAAAATGTTTGGATGCCTTTTCATAATTAATTTTAAATGTTTAAATTATAATAAAGGACATTCTTTTTCATAATGTAAATATTAATAAATAAAATGAAAGATAAAATTGTAAAACGGACATTTTGAGAACTCCTAAAAAGTTAGGATTCATTCTTTAGGATTCATTCTCAAAAGAAGTTTATTGTTGTTCTTTCAAATGGAGTTTTAAAAGTCAAATAGAATTTTTTTGGTTTTTTTAAACCAATTAACGAAGTGCTTCTCAATGATAGGTGTGCTATGGGCCTTTCGAATGACTTAAGTATTTGGGTTTCAAATGCCCTTAATCTCCCTCCCCCCCTTTTGACCAAGAATGGCCTTAATTTAATTGTTGTTAAAACTTGAAATCTCTCTAGGATCCCAAAATTTTGTTGTGGTTTATTTCCTAAAATATTGCGAAGTATACGGTTTTGTGGATAAGATGTGGTTACAAGTAACACATATTTTTACACAATAATAATAAATGACCAACTTAACCATCTTTTAATAACTCTAGATTAATTAACTATGTCTTACATTTAGGATAGGAGGGAGTAATTATTTTTAGTTTGTACATTTTCACCTTCAATAGATAAGAAGTATTTATTTTAAAAGATTATAATTAAATAAGGGTATTTAAATAAAAATAACATTGCATTTGGTAAAATGTAGGCTACTTATTACTTCTTCTTCTTTTTTGTATGCTATGCTACTTATTACTTTAATGTGCACCTTCAAAGTTATCATATACTTCCTCCATTTTTTATTATAATTAAGAGAAACTATTATAATCCCTTCAGTGCTTATTGCATTCTAGAAGAAATTGGTAGTCGTTAGTATAAGATATACTCTCTTCGTTTTTATTTATAGGAGAAACTATCACTTTTTAATTATTTTTTATATAAGTAAAATTGTCTATTTTAATAAGCATTTATTACACATTTCCTAAATTGTTCCCCATAATTTACGTTAATGAAAAATAATTAATGCGTGTTTATGTTAATTAACATAGGGAATCTTAGTCCAATTTTTTTATATTTAGACATAATTGTTATAATTAATTAATTTTCTTATACTGTGTGATATACTTTTTTTCTCTTATATATATGAAATAGAGGGAATACTTGATAAGGTGTAATCAGTTACATTTTCCCAATGTTAACTCTATTTAAATGCTTTAATTATGAGTGAAAATTAATGTAAATTTAATTTTTTTTCATTTAAATTAATAATTTAACTATCTCTCCTTGATTCCAATGAAGTAGTTAGAAGTTCCTTATAATAAGGACTGAATGAAGTATACCTTATTGTTTTTTAATAATCCAAACTATAATAAATTTCAAGAAGCATTTATCACATTTTTCTTAAATTATGCCTTATAAAGTCAATATTTATTTTCATAAAATAAATTAATTTCATTATTTACAAAGATAATAATTTAGTTGAATAACAGGAAGTAATTTTTGTATTAGATAGATTTTCTGGTTGAGGTTTTAATCCAAATAAAATAAAAAATATGGAAATTTCATCTCTTAATATTCAAAAGGAAAATAATGCAATCATAACTAAGATTAAATACTAGCAATGGAAGGGACGGGAACGGATTTCTCATAATAATGTTTGGTTTTATATTAAAAAAATACTAAAATCATAATTCTCACATAAGCAAATAGTTAATTACTTTGACCAAAAAAATTATGATCATTTTGGTGGTTTTTACCAAAACTATATTTAAAATATAAAATATTATTATTTATTTCCAAAATATGGCAAATAGGATTTTTACTAAATCCCAACAGGCGAAGTAATCAACACTACATATTTCATTCAATTAACCGTCCTTTTCTATTATCTTAGAAATCATTCAAAGGTGCCAAATATGGCTTTCTATTAGTTTGGAGGAAAAAATAAAGACCCATCTAATTATGTGATATTATATATTGTAACAAATGATATGACTTTTTAAAATATCTGTCAGCCAGATAATTAGTATCAATCTCAATTTGAAAAATCCCACGATTATTTGAATCTTTAATTTGTGTCGTTTTGGCACTTGTAATGATATACCTAACTTTTTTTTTTTGGGGTGATTCCTAAAATGGATTTTGATTCAATCAACCTAATACTCAATTCATTGATTGTATGATAAAATTAACAAGTTAAAGAGCAAAAATACTTTAAAAATTTTTCGGGAGAGATATTCTAAATTTTTGTTTGGATTAGCATCACTCAAGAACTTTCATAAAGGCTGAAACAATACCCCACTGTTAACCTAAATCAACGTTTGACTGATTCAGAAGAGGGTGAAACTGGAAAGACAGAAGAAACTTGAAGCCGAAGGTGCAGAAAATTCTTGCTTGGCTTTGCAAGATTTTTATTAGGTTTTTATTTGGTTTCAATTTAGGGATGAATGTTGGGAAATTAAATAACTCCTCTAACATAGGGATTGATGGTGCCTCTCGTCGAATCTTCTTCCTGCACACAAATAGATAGGTGATTTTTTAAAATAACACAAAAGTTAAACAAAAAACAAGAAAGAAAAACATACTAATGTAAGTGCAGGAAGGAAACAAGGAGGGATCAGTGCACCAGAAGACAAACCAGATCCTAGACACAAACCATTGGATAGAAATTAACAATTTAGATTTGGTAAATTCTAAATCTGAATGGTTCAGTTTTACAATGGAGATGTAATAAAGAGAATCCTGGTAGAAAGAAACCACTTCATGTATATTCATCAGGCTACCCTATTTTATTGGATATGCCAAGCATTTTCAAGAAAAGTAGATTGCCCTAATCAATTTCAAACAAAATGTCAAAATGAATTCATAATTCCTATCACTCATTTTACAATTTCATCCTCCCATATGTTTGTTCGAGAAACTTCACAATAAAAATGAGTCTTATAAATTCAATTGATTTTTTTTTCTTGATCGGTAGACTAGTCTTTTGAAATAGATTTTTTTTTTTGATTTGTATATAACACAATCATCCAAAATTTCTCTTCTTTCTTCTCCTCATCTCAAAATAGTTATCACTTTGGAAATTGACAAAAATTTAAGATTTTGAAGGTTTTCCTTTATTTTTAAATAATTCTTACTTTAGGTTTCAAGAAATAATTACACCTCCTGGCATAAGTATGAGAAATGAATAAAGCGAACTTTATGGGAAAGTGTTTGCAAAATGGTTTGTGAAATGATCTGGAAAATAACTATAGAAGTACTTTATTTGGAAATGGTTTTCAAAATGATTTACTTATGTAGGTTAGAATAATCAATTATTAATAAGATGTTAGATCTCCATCCATTACTTTACTATTTCAGGGGTAGGCTTGAGTATTAGAACAAGAGAATGCATGTGAAGAAGAGCCGGTTGGGCTCTTTTGTTCTCCCATATGTGACAAATGCTCACTTGTTTTTGAATTTAAATTTGATGACTATAAAAACTGAGTATTTGTATCATTTGAATTGTTGAAATTTATATTAATGGTTCAAATAAATTTACTCATTCATTAATCTCATATTAAAGTAAGAATTTAAAACTACTAATCTAAATTTTAACGATTTAGATGATACAAACACTCAATATCTATATTAAGTACAATTATGAAATTCAAATATTTTATTTTCTATTATTGTCAAGATTTAGAGGAATGTTTAGTTTATGTTTTGGACTTTTTTAAAATCAATTTATAGCACTTTTGGTGACCTATGTTTGGAATGATATTGTTTTGTTGGATAAAACAATCATTAATTGATGGGTCTAGCCCTATCTTTTTGTGTACTCTTAGGGATGTGTTTGGATTTCAATTAAAAAAATTTATTACAAAAAATTAATTAACAGAAATATAGAAAGTAATGATGTTTGGATAATAATTTTAAA